AAGCACAAGTTTCTTTATGAACAGTGGGTAAAAAACAGATTTACAAGCCCAAATGATGCTTGTGTGTGAAACTTCACTTTTTGTACATACAATTTTTTATGCAAAATAATAGGTACAAATGTAGAGGCTGCCTTCCGCTCCCTTTGACATTTTGGCAGAGGTATTATGGTAATGTATATGCAGTGATACAGTTAACCAGGAGTGCTGCCAGCTTTTCCGCCGCCTTAGGCGGCGACAGAATGTCCCACCCCGAAATGCTGCCCCCCCACAGAGGCAGCAGAAGGTCCCGCCACTGAAATACCGCTGCGCTCGCCGCCCCCCAAATTGTAGCACCCTAGGCGACCGCCTAGGTCGCTTAATGGGTTGCGCCAGCCTTGCAGTTAACAGCTCATTGTTTGCATTATAAACCTTGATTTCTAGTAAAAATGGGCAAAAGAAGTGGTGTGTGGACTAGGTTTCAGTTATCATTTGAGTTGAGACTGACTCATGTCTAACTTTGAGGTTAGATGGTTCCAACTCTTGCAAGTATTTTTGAGAGTTTGACTTCAAAAGGCTGAAAACAGATTTGCAGCTGCATGTTCTGAGGGAACAAGCTCCTTAAGTCGTAACATTCCTGGAAAATATCCTTCACTCATGCACTTTAGTCTCAACTAAACACAGTGCTTGGCTATCTGTGAATCAGCAATGAAGTAAGGACCAGCATGAAGTTCATTCGTGCCTCAGCACATCCTTCAAATGGGTGCACTTCTAAACCAACTGTTAACTTGCTGTTCCCGCCGGATGCCATGACATCCAAAAGAGCTGAATTATAAAGACATTCACCATATAGGCAGCTCCAGGAAACCTCACTGTACATCTTCTTTTGCATACAGATTTAAGACCTTATCTCATTCAATTTAATTACAGCTTTTTCATCATAATATATATGGAATATGTAATCAAATGGCATAAAGCTTTAGGTGGCATGAGTTAGGGTGCATATATGCAGTACATACAATGTAGTTTTAATTTGACCTGGCCATTCAAGCATGCAGTGTGCATGCAGTATGATACTGCTACTAAATCACCATGGTTTCTACAGATCTGCATTTTGGCTTTCCAATAATTTTTTATATACTCATTTTCTGTGCTAATGAAATTTTTACATATTTCTTGAAAGTATCTAAACAAATACTAGAAAAATAAGTACACATCATCCAAAGTTTCATCTTAAGTCATAGTAGCTTTTGTTGCAGTTTCTGTGATAATCACTTTCTTCTTTTTATTTAAAGCACATATGTTTGCACTTGTAATAAGGCAATCAGCTGTTAACAGCCCAAATCCTATCAACACTATTATTGAAACACCGTACTCAATATTAGCAGTGAGATAATCCACTGGGGGAACAAACTTCACAGCTTGGGCTATATTAGACATTTCAGAGTGCAGGGAGGCTTTAACAATGGCCCATACAGCCATATAGTTTATAGTTATATTTTCTGTTGCAAAGCTTCTTCTCTAAATACAAATATTTCCTTGTTCCCAGCATGCTGAGGTGTCAGAGTGCAGGTATAGCACTGGTATAGCATTATCAAAGTTGTCCAGAGGACTTTCACTTGTTCTTATTTAGAAACTTACAGCTGAAAATGGAAATATGTCAGATTATACAACATGTATTTAACCCTGTAATTAAAACTGTTGATCTGTTCCTTTAGAAGCAGTCAAATTGTTAGCAGCACAAGTGAGCGCCTATTCCAGTTACTCAATTCAACCATCTGAACAGTGAAGGTTGCATGCTGGACAGATCCCATAACAGAACACTTGCCCTGGTAACTTGAGGGAGACTTGAGGAAGCACTTGTGAACTTGAAATCTCATTGAGGACAAAGATTCATGATATTGAATTTAATGGCCAGAATAGGCTAATTCTGTCCTCATCGAAAGCCTTGCAGCCCTACCAACTTCACTCAATTCAGCCTAGAATTAAGAAGTAAAAATGTAAGTAAAATTGTTGAGTCAAAGGCTTTCACTCTTCACTCCACTTCACATTTGGAGACCACCTGGCTCCCTTCTGTGGCTGCTCAGAAAGCAATATGACAATATTATGACGGTAAGGCCTCCGATTACAGTTGCAAGCACCACTTTTGCAATTCTTTAAAATCCATTGGCCTAATCAGTCTAAAATCACCCCAAAACCAGAAGTTAAATCCTGGCCCCATTGAAGTTAATCATAGAACTGGAAGGGACCCCGAGAGGTCATCTAGTCCAGTCCCCTGCACTCATGGCAGGACTAAGCATTATTTAGACCATCCCTGACAGTTGTTTGTCTAACCTGCTCTTAAAAATCTCCAATGATGGAGATTCCACCACCTCCCTGGACAATTTATTCCAGTGCTTAACCACCCTGAGAGTTAGGAAGTTTTTCCTAATGTCCAACCTAAACCTCCCTTGCTGCAATTTAAGCCCATTGCTTCTTGTCCTATCCTCAGAGTTTAAGAAAAACGATTTTTCTTAATCCTCCTTGTAACAACCTTTTACATACTTGAAAACTGATCATGTCCCCTGTCTTCTCTTTTCCAGACTAACCAAACCCAATTTTTTTAGTCTTCCCTCATAGGTCATGTTTTCTAGACCTTTAATCATTTTTGTCGCTCTTCTCTGGACTTTCCCCAATTTGTCCATATCTTTCCTGAAATGTGGCACCTAGAACTGGACACAATACTCCAGTTGAGGCCTATTCAGCGCAGAGTACAGCAGAAGAATTACTTCTCATGTCTTGCTTACAACACTTCTGCTAATACATCTCAGAATGATGTTTGCTTTTTTTACAACAGTATTATATTGTTGCCTCATATTTAGCTTGTGGTCCATTACTACCCCCAGATCCCTTTCAGCAGTACTCCTTCCTAGGCAGTCATTTCCCATTTTGTATGTGTGCAACTGATTGTTCCTTCCGAAGTGGAGTACTTTGTATTTGTCCTTATTGAATTTCATCCTATTTACTTCAGACCATTTCTCCACTTTGTCCAGATCATTTTGAATTTTAATCCTATCCTCCAAAGCACTTGTAACCCCTCCCAGCTTGGTATCGTCCACAAACTTTATAAGTTTACTCTGTATGCCATTATCTAAATCAGTGGTTCCCAAACTTGTTCCGCCGCTTCTGCACCTCCCATTGGCCTGGAGCAGTGAACCATGGCCAGTGGGAGCCGCGATCGGCTGAACCTGCAGACGCGGCAGGTACCCAAACCAGCCTGGCCCACCAGGGGCTTTCCCTGCAGAAGTGGTGGAACAAGTTTGGGAACCACTGATCTAAATCATTGATGAAGATATTGAACAGAACCAGACCCAGAACTGATCCCTGCAGGACCCTACTCATTATGTCCTGCCAGCATGACTGTGAACCACTAACAACTACTCTCTGGGAACGGTTTTCCAACCAGTTTTGCACCCACCTTATAGTAGCTCCGTCTATGTTCCATTTTCCTAGTTTCTTTATGAGAAGATCATGCAAGACCATATCAAAAGCTTTACTAAAGTCAAGATATACCATGTCTACTGCTTTCCCCCATCCATAAGGCTGGTTACCTGTCAAAGAAAGCTATCAGGTTGGTTTGATACGATTTGTTTTTGACAAATCCATGCTGACTGTTACTTATCACCTTATTATTTTCTAGATGTTTGCAAATTGATTGCTTAATTATTTGCTCTCGAAGTACAGAAGTTAACTACAGAAGTTAAGCTGACTGGCCTGTAATTCCCCGGGTTGTCTTTATTTCCTTTTTTTATAGATGGGCACTATATTTGCCCTTTTCTAGTCTTCTGGAATCTCTCCCATCTTCCATGACTTCTCAAAGATAATCGCTAATGGCTCAGATATCTCCTCAGTCAGCTTCTTGAGTATTCTAAGATGCATTTCATCAGGCCCCGGTGACTTGAAGACATCTAATTTGTCCAAGTAATTTTTAATTTGTTCTTTCCCTATTTTAACCTCTTCTGATCCTACCTCATTTTCACTGGCATTCACTACATTAGACGTCCAATCACCACCAGTCTTTTTGTTGAAAACCAAAACAAAGAAATCATTAAGCACCTCTGCCATTTCCACATCTTCTGTTATTATTTCCCCCCCTGCATTGAGTAACAGGCCTACCCTGTCCTTGGTCTTCTTCTTGCTTCTAATGTATTTGTAGAATGTTTTCTTGTTGCCCTTTATGTCTCTAGATAGTTTGATCTCATTTTGTGCCTTGACTTTTCTAATTTTGTCCCTACATACCTGTGTTATTTGTTTATATTCATCCTTTGTAAATTGACCTAGTTTCCTCTTTTTGTACAACTCTTTTTTTGATTTTTAGATCATTGAAGATCTCCTGGTTCAGCCAGGGTGATCTCTCGACATACTTCCTATCTTTACTATGCAGCTGGATAGTTTACTCTTGTGCCCTTAATAATGTCTCTATGAAAAACTGCCAACTGTCTTCTATTGTTTTTCCGCTTAGACTTGCTTCCCATATGAAGTACTTGGGACTTAGTATAAAATGATAAGTGTTTGACATTTGCTAAACCTTTGTAACAATTCTGAATGTAAGATGATTGATTATGATTCTGCAGTGCCATTGGCACATTACACATGTAGAGACAGGAGAACTTCCAACATCTGCTTTTTTCACAGGCAAAATATAAATCCATGTGGATTTATTCCTTCTAAGGTCCCAGCCACATCACAAAAGCAGTGTTCTAGGAAATAATGGTATAAAACCTAAATTAAACAATAATTTAACTACCCCATTTCTGCTCCTGTGTAGAAAGGGCAGAATTTAGTTAAAACAATTTCTGAAAAGCATCCAAAACTAATATCATCCAGCTGGGCAGATCCTTATACTTATGAAGATCTCTTAGCAAGGATGTCAATGCTCTAATGCCCTTTAACAGTGTTTGAGAGAATGTGATGCAGTTATTTATTCCAGTGTATCCACAATGGAGTTTGTTTTACATGCCTCACCCCGCATTACTCCATCTTACCATTTTCTATGTAACCGAGTATATACATAGAATGACTCCATGGCACTGTGGGGTGTGGTCTGACAGTCTTGTTAGCTCGTTGAACATGTACTTTCAAGTTGTATCTGCCATTTTCAGAGCAAGAATAGATGTACCTGGAATAGACACCGTCATGCTTGATAATGTCTAACCCTAGACATAAAAAACAACAGAATTAGCAGAAAGAAATTACTGCATTAGTTAGTTCTTCGTTGTTAGAAGGAAACTCAAAGGCAACGACAAGGGCAAATTCTGCTCTGACTTATATCTCATGCAACTCCATTGAGTTTGGTGCTGTATAAAATCAGAGAATAATTTTGCCCAGGCTATTTATAAAATGACCAAGAGAATGTGTGACAGATTTTCGTTACCAATCTGCCTGGGCCACAGTTGATGAGGCTGGGCCACAGGATCATAACATCACAGCTATCAAAGCAGCTGTAAAATCATATTTTAAGTACATGACAGGGAAGTTTCATAGTAGAGCTGGTATGTACTGTATAAAACAGGGCCATGTTTTACAGGTGTAAATTTACTTCTACTTCAACAAGACTATATGAGGCCTGGTAAATTTTTGCTCTTGGTGATGTGTAACATTCAGCCATTTTGTCCTACATGTTTAACAATTGAAGTAAAATGCACAATATAAGCAAAAAAAAATCACCCCACTGCCACCACTCCCCCAGCCACCCCCGCCTCTGCCAACGGCAGCCTCGGGATGCGGGGCCCAGGTTAGGGCCCAGTTCAGGAGCAGGAACTGGGCTGTGAATGGCCGCTGAGCATGGACCAATGCCTAGCCACCAGGCCCAACAGCGGCCTCCAGCGCCACCACCACAGGCACTGCCCAGGCCTGACCCACAGCCTGTGCAGTGATGGCTGGTCTCAGCTTGTTCCCACGACTGTCACCTGCACTGCATGATTCCGGTAGAGTGACCAGATGTCACAATTTTATAGGGATAGTCCTGTTATTTGGGGCTTTGTCTTATATAGGCAACTATTATCCCCCATCCCAATTTTTCATACTTCTATCTGGTCAACCTAGGCTCAGGAAGGTGGCCGTGTCGGCAGCCAACTTGTTCATACAGATTAGTTTGGTGTTGGTCTTTATAGGATGTGATGTTGCATTAACAAGAAATTAATTTTTTTAGTTGAAACATAACTTCGTAAACATATTGCACTTAAGGTGCTTACCCACCCACAGCAGCAGTAATTACTGGCTATGCTTGGTAAAACTGTTTTGCCTTCCCTTTCCCTACAGTCAATCTAGTGCATTAGGACAGGAAGCAAATTCCTGGAAGAGGAAGTAACCAAAACAATCAACTCAGTCTTATTATGTCCTTTCAATAGTGGGATTCTAGGAAGGGGAGGGGGAAACAACCACACACACCTAAAAAAAACCTTTACAAAGTTGCCATTGTGCAAAACAGTTATTGATCAAGACAAGACATGAAAGCTACTGTGTATGTAAGTACTTGCTCTGCTTGAATGCAATTTACCATTCTTTACCTTTTATTTTAGCAAGTTTATATATCTTTGCTGATTGAATGCTGCTTTCAAACCCTTTTTCTACTGTTGATTTAGCTCCAGTTTGTTGAAAGTATTTTTAGTAACATAATGTGTCATTGGTTCATGATTGTCTTTCAAACCTCAGAGGAGGCACATGCTCCTGTAGAGACTACAGTGTACAGAGAGTGAGAGGAGCAGGTTTCTATTCCTAGTGCTGTCACCCTGAGACTTTCTAAAAGTCAGTTAGGCCAAGTTCTCAAAGTTGAGCACCTAGATAAAAGTGGTCCTTCTTTCAGGGATTGAGACCCCATAGCTGCCATTGATTAATTTTGTGTGCCAGTGTTTGAAAGACTGAGCTTTAAACACGTAGTTAAAATGGGGGCTGAAAGCAACTGAGATATCTGGATAAAAATCGCTACAGATTGAAGCTAGCCCCTCGTAATCAGTTCAGTATTCAAGTTATCTCATCCTGCCCCAATACCTAACTTCTCTGAGAAGTAATTGATCTTCCTGAAATTTTGTGTTCCTTCTCTCATTCCAGGACAGAGTTTTTCTGGGAAGTTTGATAAAAAAAGATAAATTAGTTAAAGCATTTTAAAGCTATGGTATTTTGAAAACTTCCCCAACATTCACTTCTTTTCGACATCCAGAATTGCTTGGCTGATAAACACAATTTGTTTTATGGATTTTGCTGAGGAGAGATGCCTTTTAGTTTTGAGGGGAGCATGATAGATGTAAAGATATATAAAGAGTTGGTTTTAGGTATACAGGTCACCATCCAATACCCATTAAAGTCAACGGGCGTGCTTCCAGAATCCTTCCATTAACTTTAATACCTGTTGCATCTGGCACATAAAAAGCAACATTCATTGAGTAACAGTTATCAATATTTATAGTATAAGGATTTTTTAAATAACTTAAAAGTTTATAAATATAAGCAGCCCTTCTTCTGACTCCAGCCCCTGACTGTGTGAGAAGTAGGGGCATGAGCTGAAGAGCAGGAGGCCATGAGATTCAAGGCTTTTACAAAAGCTAAGACCATTAGATTCAGTTTAATTTCAATGGAAAAACGATTTAAAAAACAAAATGTTCTGCAGTGTTTGTAACCCCAGCACTGTACTAGCGCAGGGGTTCTCACATTCTTTATAATGTGGACCACAGCTCCTGTCATTTCTGCCTCCCCTCCCCATCACATAACATCCCTGTGGCAACTTCAGCAATTGCTTACATGAAAGAGTCACACTGAGAAAGTATTTATGTATTTGTATTTTCTTTCAATGTAGTTTAGCAGATAGAGATGAGAGAAGTGCCAGCCCCATGTGACCAGCTGCCGATTCACAGACTGCCAGCCAGCACTCTGCAGAATAGCAGTGGTCCAGGAACCAGAGTTTGAGAATTGCTGTGCATGAAAATCTGAAAGTAAATTTAATTAAAAACTGACTACTCTGTTTTCATTGTCTCCACTGAGAAAAATACAAAAACTGAACAAACAGCAAGAGTAGTCCCTGGGCTCAATTCTAGTCTCATAGGACCTATCACAGTACCTTTTTGGTGTTGGCCTGCAGTCCTGTCCCTGGGTTCAGTTCTCAGTCTGTCCAACAGATCCTGTCACAGTATCCCAGTTATAGCCCCTCCTGGGCTAGCTTTCAAACTCTTTCAGCCACTTCTGGGCTTGCTCAAATATTGTCCTTGCTCTGATATGGAGCAGTGCCCCCAGGGCTTCTTCTCTGGAGATTCTCCACTGGTTGCCCCAGCTCAGTCCCTCTTTACTGTTCTATTCCACCCCTTTCAGGGGTAACAAAGTTCAACAATTACTGAACCTCTTCCAGGACTTTAGCTCCTTCTCTGGGGTTGCTCTCCCTTGCTCAGAGCTTAAGCTACTTCCATAGTGGCTGGGTGGGGAGGGGAACCCTATATCTAGCATCAGCCTGCTGCTTCCCTTTACCTACAGACTATGTTTCCCTGGACCGTATCCTTCTCAGCCCCAGTATCTTCCTTGCTTTTCTGTCTGTAGCCAGCATTGAGCTGTCCAGCCCTGCAGCCAGTCAGGAGCACCATCCTTGCTCCTCTGGCTCTAGCCAGCAACTGATCTGCTCTGTCCAGCAGCTCATTTTTATATGAGCCTGATGGAGTATGATTGGCTGCTCCCTACAGCCTCTCTAGACAGCTTGGAGGACACAGCTCTACTGTTCCCTTTCCTGTGGCAGGGTGTGGTCGGACTGTGAGGCCTCCAGCAGGGGTCCTCCAAGTTCCTGCTACACCCCATCACACCTCCTTTGTAAAGTGCTTTGAGATCTACTGATGAAATGCATTATACAAGAGCTAAATATTAATTAATTAATATTATTACAAGAGTGTGCACGAGCAGGCTTAGGAGCACTTTCTACTTCTATACAAAATGTGTATCTTTCACTCCACCATAGGCTGCCCTTCTAGCTAACCACTGCTAACAGGGGGGTGTCAGTCCTGGTGGGTAGTCATGGTCCCAGCCCACATGTCCTTTGGAATGGACAGTACTGCCAACACTGAGCCTGAACCAAAGCTCATTGAAGTCAGTGGATCAATGGATCAGGTCCACTGTTAACCTCTCCTATTGTACTCAGGAAACATAAGCAGCCAAATTATTGATGCCTCCCCTAGAGATGCGTTGGAGGTGAAGTTGGGATTGCCAACCTTCCAGGGTTGTCCTGGAGTTTCCAGGAATTGAAGATTAATTAAGCTTTAATTAAAGATTATGTCATCTGATGAAACCTCCAGGAGTACATCAGCCAAGCTCTTTGAGCCAAGATTGTCAATTACAATGTGTGTGAACAGCAGCCACAGCAATGAAGTCCCAATTGCAGTTGGGTCCTCAAGGCACTTGTGCAATATAAATGAGAAGAAAAATAAGAGCCAATCATAATTGGTGAATGAAAACTTGGATCTATCATTTTTGACTGTCCCACTAAATAAGTATTTATATGAGAGATCAGAGTATCCTTGAAGGAGCTGTTTTGGTCTATTGGGTAAATATAATGTGATTTTGGAAACATAACTGGAAGAATTTTTGTGTGTGTATTTTGAAAATCCACTAGATGTCAGTGTAACCAAAGCATCAAACTGCTAGACAGCTCTTAACTGGATGTCAGTTAACTGGAGAACAGGGATGTCCGTGGAACAATATTTATAGACCCACTTATTCCATGGACACAGTACATCTGAGGACTGCTATGTTTTATTGTTACTCTAGGAAATATTAACAGGAACAATTTCACCACTGATTACTCTGACTCTGTGATGTAGTTCCTACCAATATATAACTTCTGAGGAGTAGAAATATAAACACTTGTGAGAATGATGAGCTGGTAGTACCCTCCAGTTTAGAGGTAGGATGAGCAGGCAAAATGAAGCGCTACTGAATAGGTGGAAACAGGGCCGGCTCCAGGGTTTTTGCCGCTCCAAGCAGCAGAAAAAAAAAGCCACAATCGCGATCGGCGGCAGCTCCACCGTGCCACTTTCTTCTTCGGCAGCAATTTGGCGCCAGGTTCATCCCTCTGAGAGGGACCGAGGGACCTGCTGCTGAATTGCCGAAGAGCCCGATGTGCTGTCCCTTCCCCTTGGCCACCCCAAGCACCTGCTTGCTGAGCTGGTGCCTGGAGCCGGCCCTGGGTGGAAAGCAGGTAAAACTAGGACCACTTGTAGGGTTGCTAATTTTGGTTGGATGCATTCCTGGAGGTTTCCTCTCATTACATAATTTTTAATTTCTGGAGACTCCAGGACTCTCCTGGAGGGTTGTCAACCCTAGCCACTTGAGGAGTTTAATGCCTGTGAATGCTGCTTTGTGACTGTAATTTTTCTCTTTATAACTCCCCACAAGAGACCTTCCTCGCTTTTCTCCAGAATGTGATGACTATTCTTTCAGACATAGAGGAGTGGTTCAGGCTCTCTCCAGAGACCATCAGGGCTGCTCTCAAATCCACCAGAGAGATTGTTGCAGAGTGCTACGAGGTGCTCCCTCCCTAGGTTGAGGGCATTTTCTCTTTATAGCACTCCTAGCTTTTGCATTGTCAGGAATGAAGGACCAGCCCCAAACACAGATCTCCAGATAGTGATGACAGTTTAATCACCAAGTCAAACACTCCTAGGCTCCCAGGCCAATTTTTCTATCAAGAAACAGCTCAGATATATATGATTGGGCAGGTCATCAGGTGAGAAATCCCATGTTCATGGAACATTTCTCATTAGGGTAGATATTAATTGACAAATAAAAAATAAAACACAATCCACAATTCCCATGATTTGTTCTGTTTTACTGGTCTTTATGCATAATACATTGCACCTCCAAGCCTTCTGTTTATTACACTCTACTAATTACCCTCTTGTGTCCCATTCACCTATACCCAAAAGACATGAAGAAAACCACCAACATGCACCAGAAAAACAAAACTGGGGAGTCATATTGCATTTACATGTAGAAGAGCAACTAAGAGAAATTCAATTTCTGAATTTCATTTCATGGCATAAAAAAAAACATCTGGGAAATATAGAAATTGCACTAACCAAACAAACACATGGATGACTCTCTCAGACAGGGCTTGTTTTTACGAGTGATTTGCAGTTAATATGGTTGTAAAAGTTAACCTGGACATTCCCCAAATGTTTGTTCCAGGCATAGTCCAAACGTGGTAACTACCTTGAACTGTCAGTTAATTAACTTATACAAAATCTAAGTGTAGGCATACCCATGTTCGCCAATACATCTATATCACTAAGGTTGCATCTACACTACAGGGGGGAGTCGATTTAAGATACGCAAATTCAGCTACGTGAATAGCGTAGCTGAATTCGACGTATCGCAGCCGACTTACCCCGCTGTGAGGACGGCGGCAAAATCGACCTTTGCGGCTTCCTGTCGACGGCCCTTACTCCCACCTCCGCTGGTGGAGTAAGAGCGTCGATTCGGGGATCGATTCGGGGATAAATCGATCCCCGAGAGGTCGATTTCTACCCGCCGATTCAGGCGGGTAGTGTAGACCTAGCCTGAGTATACTTCAGTGGAAGCAGCAAGAAACCCCATACTGGACTGTGACATTCCCCAAGGTATAATCTGGAGGGCTGAGTAGTGGTGTCTCCTCAACTTTCCAATTGGGGTGCCTTTTACACTGCTTCGCTTTGAAAACAACCACTCCTGGTCTATTTATACACAGCCTCTAGAATGCAAAATCACTCCCAGCTGAATTATATGCATGCTTCTAGCCAGCCACTCCTGAACTGTATTGCAGAGTGACACCAGTAAATTCCCAGTCCAAGACTTGTCCCCAGAAATTTGCATCTTGTACTGCCCAGCTCTTTCCTTCTGTACTGTACAAGCTTATAGAAAGTCCATCATTTCATAAATGGAAAATGATATGCACAAACCCTGCTATCTCAAATTAAGTCTCTCAACCACTTCAATCCAGACATACACTGGTTTAGATCAAACAAGTTTATTTAACTACAGAAAGATAGATTTTAAGTGATTACAAATAATGAGGCAGAAAAGTCATAACTGGTTACAAAAAATAAAAGGTAAAACGTAAACTAATATCTAAGTTAACAAACTAAGTAAATTTAAAGCAAAAGGTTTCTCTCACTGTATGCTTACAGCAGTCTGGTTGGATTCCTTCAGCCAGGACTCCTCCCCCCAGTTCCATGATGCTTCTTTCATCTTTCAAAGTTGTTGATGCCATGAGTAGAGATGAGGGCAGAGAGGTGATTTTAGGGATGTGTTCCACATTTTTATATCTTTTCCTCCTCTTTGAGAATCATCTTAGGCTGGGGTTCAGGTGAAGCCTGTCTGTATACATGGGAACCCCCAACTGCTCCATTTCCAAGATGTAAAGTTCTTACTCACACCCTTCTTCCTGCCAAAGAATGGCCACTTACCCCATTGATAGTCCATTTGATTGTGTTGACACCTGGCTGAGGCTTCAGTTTGCCTTTTGTCTCTGAGGAACTGGTATGGGCTGCTTTCCCAGACTTGGAATATCCCTTAGTAACATCATACACAGAATCTTATGACTTTACATAAAATGTTGCCACATATTTTACCAGAACAATAATGATCAGCAAATTATGAGTTTTCAGATGATACCTCACAAAGCATAGTTTGTACAAGATTTATCATAATTTTGTAAAAGTGGTGAACAAAAAGGAAAATGGTGTGTCTCATGGACAATTATGGAATAATTAACCCATGGAAAAGTTCCTCCCTAGCCCCCATTAGTGATAAGCTGATGATCTGAAGCATGAGGGTTTATGTCCCTTATAAAATAATTTCACTCCATCAAATATAAATATGGTTGTTTTCATTACCCATAGAATGGATGATCCTTTCCCATTTTTGGAGGGTCACATCACACAGCATGATGTTGCAAGTTGGGCTTGCAGGATATAGGAAAGATGAGTGAAAAGCCATCTGCTGAATAGCTTTTCCTCCTTGATGCTGCGTGCAATTGCTTCTACATATGATGTGATAGGTGGCATTCCTGCTAACTTGGCATATATTCTCTTCTCTTCTACTATTTTGCTTTTGTTCTTTCGTTAATAGTTTAGAGTTGAAATGTTGCTCGTGTGATTGGTGATTATATCAGGAAGAAAGTGTTTTCCATATGCTCGTTTGTGGATACTGTATGGCCCTGATCGTGATAATAATTAAACACCCGCATAACTCTCCTCCCATAAGTAGAGTTGTGCATGTACTTAAGCATTTGCAAGGCCATCAGAAGTATATACTTTGTTTCCTACTCACTGAACATAACTGAAAGGATGTGAAGGTATGTATGAAAATGACAGATTACAGATCTATCTAATTTCTTATTAAATCTCACCTTTCCTGACAGTAAGCAACTGGAAAACAAAAATAGAAAGACATAGTTTTTGCTACTTTTTAAAAAATAAAGCACAATAATGTTGCAAAATTCTTGCAAGATTAGAATTAAATTCTACATCTAGATTGTCATTTATATTCGTGTCTTACTCTACTGAGTACATGTTTTTAAATTCCGTATTTAGTCTATGTACATGTACTGTAACATAGCATAAAGTAATTTAAAGCAGAACAGAAATACACATAATTGTACATCTATTTTAAAGTCAATTCACTTAATTATCAAATGTATTACAAAATTATTTAAGTCTCCCCTTATGTATTTTAAAAATCACAAACAGAACAAATCAAGATAGATTCCTACTGAACTTTCATCTTACAATTAGTTTTATTACATTCTGAGCTCAGGACCTCCCCTTCTATTTTTCTTGTGTAAAATGCAAACAAACATACTTACAGCTATTGATACAGCTATTATAGACCCAGCTACTATTAACACTATTGTTAAAATATTAATACCTTCATTGATAACATCATCATTAGGAGTACTATCAGGCGAGGATTCCTTTGGAGGGATAAACAAAGCTGCTTGTGCTATATTAGACACTTCTGAGGTCAGGGAGGCATTATCAATGGCACGTATTGCAAAATAGATTATGGTGCCATTTTCTATTGTGACATTTTCTGATTTAAACTGAAATGATTCTTTTGTGCCGGCAGGTTTAGGTACCAGACTAGAAGTATTCACGGAAGTAGTATCCTCAAAGGTGTTTCTCAGGGCCAGAAGACTTTCACTCATTTTTATTATGTATTTGTCAGCTGGAAAAAGCGAAGAATACAAGTAAGAGTGTGTTAGTAATGCCTATTATATTATCTGTAACTGCAAGCACAGTACAGGATTTGTAGAACAGTTTTGTATCTTTATCAGAACTCCAATGATACTCCATTACCACCCCTACCATTTTCCCCAACCTCAGTATTGATGGGCCTGCTTAATTGACTCCCATCCTTTCTCTGAAGAGCTCTGGGCAGGATTCCTGTTAGAACTTGTCTGTTTCACAGTTTAATTGGGTCAATAGTCTACTGTTAACTGATGTGGGGCATTCCCTCCCTTCATGAGCACTAAGTGCATTATATTATCAGCACTCTTAGCTCCTGCTGGGCTGAGCAGCAGGAGACCAAACCCAAGAATTCAAGATGAGTCTTCCACATGGCAGTGCAGAAAACTGCCACTAAACTGCCCCACATCCTGGGCCGGCTCCAGGATTTTTGCCGACCCAAGCAGCAAAAAGAAAAAAAGTGGGAAAAAAAAAAGCCGTGATCTGCTCTACCGCCGCCGCTTCAGTCTTCGGCGGCAATTCGGCGGCGGGTCCTTCGCTCCCAGAGGGAGCGAAGGACCCGCCGCCAAATTGCTGCAGAAGAGCCAGACATGCCGCCCCTCTCCGTTGGCTGCCCCAAGCACCTGCTTGCTGGGCTGGTGCCTGGAGCCAGTCCTGCCCACATCCATGCCTCCCCACCAGCTTCCCCCGTCCCTCCCATACCCATATACCCTTCAATTGTCTCTGGTGAGTATCCAGGTCAAGTATAAGATCAAATAGTACATTTAAAAAACACAGCAGTACAGGGATATGTCCCTGCATCCTGGTTAACATTCCCTCTCTAAAAGCATAGACTGAGAGATAGGAAAATGCCTGGTCCATTTGCCAGCATAAGTAGAGTATCAGGGATGTTGCTGCAAATGTGCCTGGCTTCCACAGTTGTCACTTCAAGGCTGTTTGGTTCTGTTCTGCTAGTGGGTTTTCCAGGTCTTTGTTTGAGTTGAGTTCTACCTCCTGTCCCGCATCTTCTTTTCTATCTCTGCAGAGCCGGGGGATGGGGTAGCAAAAGAGTGCTATTCCAGGTCTACACCATCAGAGGATCCTCCTAACTGAGGTTATTCTCCCATTGCTGGCTACTCTAGCTATACGGTTGTTATGACCAGGAGGAGGAGTGCAAAGTAGCCACATTGCAGAACCTAGACCAGTGCTTTGGGGATTTAATGGAGTTGTTGGTTTATTCTCTGGTGAGCTGGTTGACAAGAGCTTGTTTGCCTTTTTAAGCTAGCATTGGCTGGTTGGTATAAAAGTTTTGTATTTCTGCTGTAAAAGTGTCAGGGTTTGGGAATATTTCATGTTTCTCAAACATTTTTGAAGGATTAAGGGGGACTAACGTTAATATCATATTGACCAGGTAATTTACTGGTTACGCCAAGGCCTGATCTACACTAGAAAATTTTAGAGAGAAAATCTAGCGGAGGCCATGCCATAGTGATGGTCACATTTTTGCAGATGGGAAAGACATAACTTTTGTCCTCTGCTTGGCTGGCTCATTGTATGTAATTTCAGATAACTGACAACAGTGTATCACTTCCAGCTGATTAAAACAAAACTTCCAACTTACCTTGTCCCACATCAAAGTCATTCCCGGGAGCTGTCCAAGACAAGTGAATTTTATCTTCTTCATACTGAGCCTCAAGGTCAATAATTTTACAGGGTGGGAACACATCAGTAATTCCTCCTGAAGGAACATTTTCCATTACAAAAGAACCTCCTGAGGCAACTCTATTGAAACTTCCTAGCTTTGCTTGAATTTCATCATCACTAGGTTCAGGTCTCGGTGCATTCATTTTAATTTCACCTGTCCCAAAAAAGATAAAAAAATGCTCATAATATTTGACCATTACAAAACTCTAAATCATAGCACACTTTCTTTTTATCTAGCATTCCTTCTCACTTTAATCTATTTTTTTCTTTAGCTTATTCAAACATAGTGCAAAAATTAGTGAGGCTCAGACAGAAAACAAAGTGAATTTCAAGACCTGCATCCTTGCACAAAACTA